TCTTACATTGAAATCCCCTCCTATTATCATTCTGCCCTCCTCATGTTCCTCCCTTACTTCCCAGCAGTCTTTTAATTTATTGATGTCACCCGAACTGTACACTGACCAAATTGTCAGGGGCCCCCTTTTATCCCTAAGCACCGATTTCACTAGCCCCTCCCTCATCTCTACACCTATTTCGACTACTTCCTCACACCATCCTCTTTTCACTCCTATCACTATCCCACCCTTGGCTCTCCCCTTCTTAAACTCCCTTTTAGCCGGGAATATCTTCCACTCGAAGTCCCTACTTAGTTTCGCTACTAAATCCTTTCCCTCTTTCTCCTCCACCCATGTTTCCGTCAAGCATATAAAATTCGCATCCTCAACAAAATCCCAAAACTCCCTATCCTTCCCCCATATCCCCGCTATGTTCCAAAATAACACCTTTCTCTCTCCCTCTTTCTCCTCCCCCTTTTCTCCCACACCTACGTTCCATTCCTGGCCTATCCAAAATTTTCATCCCTTTCCTCTGCGTGAGGCCTCCTCGTCTCTTTCTCTGCCTCCCCCTTGTCCTTCCCTTTGTCCCCCTTCCCCCCTTTCCCCCTCTCCTCTGTATTTATCAGAGACTCTACTTTTTCTTTCTCTCCCCAATTAAACCACCTGTCTTCAAATTTTATTCTCCCAAAGCCCGCTTTGACTTTCCACCCTCTGCTCTTTTTTTCCCATACCCATCTATTAATCTCCTCCTGCACTCTTCTTTCCTCATACGACCTATCGTTCTCAATGAAAATCCTTGTTCCCATCAGTTTTCTTTTATTTTTCATAACTTCCCGTTTTTCTGTCTCATTGCCCAGCTTGAATACCCCTACACTCCCTGTAGTCCATGCTTCTTTTATCATCACCCTCACCCCAATTCTATCGCTAATTAGTTCCTCCCCCCCCATTTTACTAATTCCCTCCCTTCCCTTGGCATCTCTGCTCCTTTTATTATTATGTTGTTCGCATTTTCCTCTTTCACCCTCTCATTCATAATCCTTCTTATTCTT